TGTGTGACGATACAGTCTGGAGCAGTGGTGTAGTGTAATAATAATAATGGTGTGTGTGTGACGATACAGTCTGGAGCAGTGGTGTAGTGTAATAATGATAATAATGGTGTGTGTGACGATAGTCTGGAGCAGTGGTGTAGTGTAATAATAATAATGGTGTGTGTGTGACGATACAGTCTGGAGCAGTGGTATAGTGTAATAATAATAATAATGGTGTGTGTGACGATAGTCTGGAGCAGTGGTGTAGTGTAATAATAATAATGGTGTGTGTGACGATACAGTCTGGAGCAGTGGTGTAGTGTAATAATAATAATAATGGTGTGTGCGACGATAGTCTGGAGCAGTGGTGTAGTGTAATAATAATAATGGTGTGTGTGACGATACAGTCTGGAGCAGTGGTGTAGTGTAATAATGATAATAATAGTGTGTATGCCGATACAGTCTGGAGCAGTGGTGTAGTGTAATAACTAATAATGGTGTGTGTGACGATACAGTCTGGAGCAGTGGTGTAGTGTAATAATGATAATAATGGTGTGTATGCCGATACAGTCTGGAGCAGTGATGTAGTGTAATAATGATAATAATGGTGTGTATGCCGATACAGTCTGGAGCAGTGGTGTAGTGTAATGATAATAATAATGGTGTGTATGCCGATACAGTCTGGAGCAGTGGTGTAGTGTAATAATTAATAATGGTGTGTGTGACGATACAGTCTGGAGCAGTGGTGTAGTGTAATAATGATAATAATGGTGTGTATGCCGATACAGTCTGGAGCAGTGTAATAATAGTTACATAGCTGTTCGAATGATCAATGGCATTTTTCATAATCCATAAATTTCCTTTTAATATTTCCTTTTAATATTTATCTTGTCATTTAACCGAACTATACTATTAAGTAAGTTATTTTAAAATAATTAATATAAAACCTTAGTTTGTTTTAGCGCAAAGCTACACAATAAGCTATTCATCGTGGGGAACCGAACCCCATATTTTAGCGTAGTAAGTCCGTAAACTTTCCTTTGACCCACTGGGGGCATCTTCGTTATTACAAAATGGATTTAGTAAATTAATTTTATTTTTTTCATAGTCTTTATTTAATTTTTTCATTTGTTCGTTTATTTGTCAGCATTGCTTGGGATAGTTGAGAACATGTCAGTAACTGATGTGATAAATTTATGTTCACATTCTGTAACAATATGGTATTTTTATGTTCATACTTCTGTAACAGTATGGTATTTTATGTTCATATTCTGTAACAGTATGGTATGTTTATGTTCACATTCTGTAACAATATGGTATGTTTATGTTCATATTCTGTAACAGTATGGTATTTTTATGTTCATATTCTGTAACAGTATGGTATGTTTATGTTCATATTCTGTAACAGTATGGTATGTTTATGTTCATATTCTGTAACAGTATGGTATGTTTATGTTCACATTCTATAAAAATGTACATGTTAAAGCTCTACCATGACATACAATCTACTTACTCTGATTTTTAAGGAACACACACACCAAAGCCATGCCACTTATTAGATAAAACAGTGGTAAAAGCTGCGTTGATCTTAAAGAATGGCATTATTGTTCTATTTATGTAATGCTGTTTTTCTCAGTC